ATGTGGACAAACCACAAAAGTTGTGGGATAGTGTTCTGTGGACTGATGAAACAAAATTAGAACTGTTTGGGCCCATGGATCAACGCTATGTTTGGAGGAGGAAGAACAAGGCCTATGATGAAAAGAACACCTTGCCTACTGTGAAGCATGGTGGAGGGTCAATCATGCTTTGGGGCTGTTTTGCTTCTGCAGGTACAGGGAAGCTTCAGCGTGTGCAAGGTACCATGAATTCTCTTCAGTACCAGGAGATATTGGATGGAAACGTGATGCAGTCCGTCACACACCTGAGGCTTGGGAGACGTTGGACCTTTCAACAGGACAATGATCCCAAGCATACCTCCAAGTCCACTAGAGCATGGTTGCAGAGGAAAGGCTGGAACATTTTGGAGTGGCCATCGCAGTCACCAGACTTAAATCCGATTGAGAACCTCTGGTGGGACTTAAAGAAAGCAGTTGCAGTGCGCAAGCCTAAGAATGTGACTGAACTGGAGGCCTTTGCCCATGAAGAATGGGCGAAGATACCCGTAGATCGCTGCAAGACACTTGTGTCAAGCTATGCTTCACGTTTAAAAGCTGTTATAACTGTAAAAGGATGCTGTACTAAGTACTAAGATTGAATGTCACTTGGGGGTGAATAAAACTGATAATGCTGTGAGCACAGAAAAGACATTTGTGGTTATTTCATTATAACTGTTATGTTATATTTGTCTGACCTACAAGTGCCTCTTTAATGTAAATGTAAGCAAGATGACTGAATGATCAAAAGCAATGTCAAACTGGCCAAAACACTCAATTTCAGTGGGGGTTGAATAATTTTGGACACAACTGTAAGCACCACAAGTTTACTAAACTAATATATGCTTGTGATGTGACTATTCATCTGGTATTTATAAATGCTTTTGTTATTGTATAAACATTGGAGTAGAAGAAGAGGGTGGTTTCTTCATTATTTTATTTTCTAGTTAGAAACATCAGTCCTGATTGTTGGAGTGGCATGGTCACCTTTCCAGTACTCAATGGTCATTGCAGTAGCTGACCATCATGATTCACCACTATACTGGTCTGAGGGACCAAGTTTTCAGTTTTAGTGTACTTCTTTAAAGGACAGCTCCAGTCAAAGTGTAAGAGATATCTTCTGTTAGTACACATTGTGGGGTGGTGATGGGTACCTTAAGGAAACCTTTTCATCAAATTAAAAATTTTCAGGACAAGGCACAAAAATCAAGTATTTAAATGTTTACTTTATCTTTCCATAAACATTTTTTTTTTTTGCAATGTGAACTTTCTAGCAAATTTGACTACTTCAGAAATTCCCTTGCACAGCATTATCCAGTCTGACAGTGATCGAACAAAAAAAAAAAAACAACGGCTGGTTGTATTGAAATCAGTCAATAGATCAACATCAATACAAACAGCCTACCCAAAGGTGGATCGACATTCAGCTGGTTCCTGCTGAATCCGATGAATTTCACTCTATGGCCAGTTTTAGCTCCTTGCACATATAGAACAGTCTGCAAGGGCTGGGACACTGATAATAGGGATTTTAACTACCCTAATGCTGACTGGAGTAATGGCACTGCTGGTAAAAGGGCAGAAATTTATAAACCTATTACAAGACAAATATATGGTACAGTTTGTAGAAACCCCAACTAGAAATGATGCTCTGGGATATACAGTTGCAAGAAAAAGTATGTGAACCCCTTGGGATTACATGGAGTTTTGCATGAATTGGGCATAAAATGTGCTCTGAACGTCATCTAAGTCACAACAATAGAAGAACACAGTCTGCTGAACATAATACTACACAAAAACATTAGATGTTGCCATGGTTTAATTGCACATAACGTAAACAGTCACAGTGCAGGGAGGAAAAAGTATGTGAGGCCCTAGCTTAATGACTTCTCCCAGAGCTAATTGGAGCCAGGAGTGAGCCAACCTTGACTCCAATCAGTGTGATGATATTGGATGTGTTGCTGACAGCTGTCCTGCCCTTAAAAAACACACACCTGTTTTGGGTTTACTGGTTTCAAGAAGCACTGTCTGATGTGAACCATGCCTCGCAGAAAAGAGCTCTCAGAAGACCTACAATCAAGAATTGTTGACTTGCATGAAGCTGGAAAGGGTTACAAAAGCATCTCCAAAAGCCTTGATGTTCATATGTCCATGGTAAGACAGACTGTCTTCAAATGGAGAAAGTTTAGCACTGTTGCTACTCTCCCTAGGCTTGGTGGTCCTGTAAAAATTACTGCAAGAGCACAGCGCAGAATGCTGCATGAGGTAAAGAAGAATCCCAGAGTGTCAGCTAAAGACCTACAGAAATCTCTGGCACATGCTAACATTTTTGTTGACACATCTACAATAAGGAAAACATTAAACAAGAATGGTGTACATGGGAGGACACCACGGAGGAAGCCATTGCTGTCCAAAAAGAATATTGCAGCACGTTTGAAGTTTGCAAAAGAGCACCTGGATGTTCCACAGCACTACTAGCAAAATATACTGTGGACAGATGAAACCAAGATTGAGTTGTTTGGGAAGAACACACAACACTATGTGTGGAGAAAAAAAGGCACAGCACACCAACATCAAAACCTCATCCCCACTGTAAAACATGGCGGAGGGAGCATCATGGTTTGGGGCTGCTTTGCTGCCTCAGGGCCTGGACGGATTGTTGTCATTGATGGGAAAATGAATTCCAGAGTTTATCAAGACATTTTACAGGAAAACGTACGGCCATCTGTCCGCCAACTGAAGCTCCGCAGAGGATGGGTGATGCAACAGGACAATGACCCAAAGCATACAAGTAATTCAACAAAACAATGGCTGCAACAGCACAGAATATGCCTTCTGGAGTGGCCCAGTCAGAGTCCTGACCTCAACCCGATTGAAATGCTGTGGCATGACCTTAAGAGAGCGATTCACACCAGACATCCCAAGAATATTGCTACACTGAAACAGTTTTGTGAAGCGGAGTGGTCCAAAATGACTCCAGATCATTGTGCAGATCTGATCTGCAACTACAGGAAATGTTTGGTTGAGGTTATTGCTGCCAAAGGAGGGTCAACCAGTTATTAAGTCCAAAGGTTTGCATACTTTTTCCTCCCCCTGCACTGTGAATATTTACATGTTATGTGCAATTAAACCATGGCAACATCTAATGTTTGTGTAGTATTATGTTCAGCAGACTGTGTTCTTCTATTGTTGTGACTTAGATGACATTCAGAGCACATTTTATGCCCAATTCATGCAAAACTCCACGTAATCCCAAGGGGTTCACATACTTTTTCTTGCAACTGTACATGGACTTTACATTATTATTTATTTTTTTCAGGTACTTATATAGCGCCATCAATTTACACAGCACTTTACATATATATATATATATATATATATATTGTACATTCACATCAGTCCCTAACCCTCAAGCAGCTTAAAATCTAAGGTCCCTAACCTACATTCATACATATACTAGGGCCAATTTAGACAGGATCCAATTTACCTAACAACATGTCTTTGGAGTGTGGGGAGGAAACCGGAGTACCCGAAGGAAACCCACACAGGGAAAACATGCAAACTCCAGACAGGTGGTGGTGCCATGCCGTAGTCACTAATAATGTAAATAAAACAGAAAGCAGCACTAAATCACAAAAATATCAGAAGTGTATAAATAACATCCCATATGTGTTAATGAACATACTGCACATGCGTAAATACAGAACATTAATTCAATGCATATAATTAAAATATATCAGAAGATAAAAGATATGTGATGTTAAAAATATCCCTTATCTAAGTCCCTCAAAAGGGAAAATGAAAACAGAAAAAACTCAAAGAAAAATCCTTTCACAATCTAAGTGCTGTCAAGAGTGTCCCCACACTTCTACTTCCAGTTAGAAAGGGTGTACATCCGCCACCATGTATCACAATTAGGGATCCTCTTACCAGAGGATGTGGGCTATTAGTATTATGCTCACTAACGCTTAGATGCATCCTTTAGTCATGATTCTCCATGCATAAAATACGTTCTCTATCGGGATCTATCCGCCAAATTAGCCAAAAGATAAAAGCAGTGCATACCCATGTGTAATATGTAAAAATCGAATTTATTTTAAAAACACCAAAAATGCCAAAACACAATCGCTAATGGCACTAAATAATAGTAAACATATCACATGGGCAGCAGGCACAAAAACCACACAAAGCCAATAAATAAAACTAGATTCCAAAGCAACAGACTGAATTTATGATTTTTTTTAATGATTTTTTATGATTTTATGAATTTACCGTCCCATGCTCTAGGCTCACTTTCACATAGAGGATGTCATTTATACACTGCTGATATTTTTGTGATTTTTGTTCCATTTATGTTTAGCTATTGGTATCACAATTGCATAGCGGCTGCTTTATCTTGTAGCCTCCCTAGCGGTCTGATTATGTCAGTATTTCTGTGCTCAAAGCGGTACATTTTTTTTGCATGGAAATATGTAGTTTTTTTTATTTTAGGCCTGTAATTTTTAGGAATAACTCACTGAAATCTGTCCGAACAAGAGTCTAGTAAACATCCCGGGTATGATAAAATTTGAAACATGAAATCATAAATTATAATTGAATAAATAATCATAAAAAATAATACTATAATAATAATTTAATTCAATAATATAATCAACCAAAAACACTGAAATTTTAAATAGAGCGCCAAGTTCGCACATCACTGAGCAAAGTCACAAAATCGTTTTCAGTGTCTGATGACGAATTTCCCCACGAATCATCACTCAATTCTGCAAGTGGTTCTGAATTACTATTGCTGTACTCTAGACGGTCTAAAACCGCTTTTGACCTAAAGGGACGCTTTTTGGATGCCATGGACCTTTCTCAGTTTCCAGGCAGAAAGAACAGTAAAAATGCAGGCAGGGCACAGGACAAAGCACTCGGGACAAAATGTAAGTGAAATGGTTTGATATAGTAATGTTTTCTATGTGATTTTAGTGTATTTAGTGAATGTCACTTTTTGACATTTTTAAATTTCCTGCCAGTTCCGTCCCCGTACGTCCCGACGCTCGCAGGAAACGGAACCTGGAAGACAGATGCCGGCATCGGCCGGAGGACATGGTCGGGGACACTGCAGGAGGGACATTACGAGAGCGCAGGACAAGGTAAGTGCAGAAGGAATCCCGGAGCAACGCTGCATGGTATGCCCAAGTGTAGCTCGGGGTTACCACTTGTGGTGCTGAAACTTTACCCCGAGCTACACTCAGGGGAGAACCGCCAGGGAGGTTCATTTTAAATACTTTAGAGCAGACTTTTTATGATTTTTATTTACTAATAATGTAAAGACAAACTCCAGCTAACTGTACAGCTAAGGTTACAGCAATAGTTTTTTTTTTCCTTTTGATATAAAGGTTTTGCATAAATAATAATAGCTGACCATTGTAAGCACTCCTGTCAGTGGTGAATGGTTTGTCTCATCCCTCTAACTCCCTCTAACTCTCACCTTTGCTGGACAGCTTGATCTGGTAAAAGAAGCTGAAAAACAACAGACTTACTGGCTGGCTCACAGTGAAAGCAGGTGCTTATAGAGATACTACTGTTACTTATGTTTAACATTTTCTAGGTTAAATGTATTTTCAGTGTGAACTGCACTATTTAGTTGATGCTGCCCAACAGAAGTGGTACTGTTTTAGAGGAAAGGGTTAACTCAGCTATTCAGGCTTTCCTGTGCTTTTCTGAGAAGCACCACCCTCTTCTGATGGTGAATGCATATGAAATGGAAACTGTATCTAGGTAAAAAGTATTTGCTCTCTGCATGGGAAAAGTAAGGGAGTGCTGTTGAGGATGTAAGAAGCCACTTTGCTACTTCCCCACCCCTTGTGGGAGCCCAGCTGGGGTTCTAGGGATATGGACAAGATCTGCTGAAATGGACAATGGACTTAGAGACTTTCTCACCTAATCAAGGTATGACATTTTCATGGAGCAGAATTTTGCACCCCCTGAGCACTCTCAATAAGCGAACAGCAGATCTGATGTCATCATATCATTGCTATTCTGCATCATTCAGGACCACCAACCACCAGGAGAAGAATGAGGAGGAAACTGTGCATAACACACCTGGCTAGAAGATAAGGAAAAAAAAGAAAAAAAAAGCATAAAATACAACAATGGGGTGCTTCAATTGGAGAAGGGGGAGGACAGAACCCAAATTTTGTCTTTAACTAATATCTGTCTGGAGTTCTTCTTTAACAGTAAACAGTAAGTATTTGAAGGGATATAATTTCCCCTTCTTGTAGGATGCTCAATGCAGGTATATATACAAACCGTCAAAGAAAAAAAAAACAATTTCTTTATGGGTGTAATAACCGGTAGAAACACAGACACACTTTTTGCAGTGATACACTTTAACGGCCCTATAAAGCTGTCTAGACCAGAGACTGTCTCTGGATGACACCAGTGGTGCACTGGGCCTTTATTTCGCTCTGCATGTGGAAAAGATGACCACATGTTTCAAATGAAAGGACGTCAATTGGTAATGCATCAGTAGTTCCTCTGATAGCCATAGCTGTTTGATTTCCAGCCGATGCCTAAAAGAACATTTCTTTGTCTCCATAGGTGGCAGAAAGAAGCACAATAACCAATAAAAACTCAGATGGATGTACTGAAATATCTGTAAAACAAACAAAAAAAATCAGAAAAAAACTCACAACACCAATATTTTATTTCTGTAGTATGGACTCTCTTTCTGTTAGCCAATGAGACTACCTCGGTCATATGTAAAAGTAGGAAAAATGTATTACATTTACTGCAAAGCATGCAGCTAAAGGCACCATTGAAATGCATTACCTGCCAAAGGATTGGTGATTCTGTTCAGTCAGTCTTGTGATCCAGCTGTCCCTGTCAGATATCACTGATAGTCCTTGGACCTCCCTTCAGGTTGTACTACAGCTAAGCTATACCACGTGGTCCAGGACCAACCCCAGGAAAGGTGGAGCAGTAGCATGTTGATAAGTCCATCCCTGTGCTTCCCTTTCCTGTGACATATTCATCGAGCTGGACTCACAGCACTGTATAAAAGTGGAGGGTGCTGCATTTCCTACGGTTTTGTTAGCAGAGGATTACAGGAACCTGATATTCAGATATTTAACTGATAAAAAAGAAATGCAATCATTTACAACGAACTGCTGACCAAGTGAGATAGCTTACCACTCCTCATTTTCCCCTATATCTAGAAATCTAATCACAGTCTTATAATTACTTTTTTCAGCAGCCCTGAAGTGAGATTGTAGGTTAGTGGCACAGGAGTGCCCATTGTAGTTCCACAAATTGCCACTAGATAGTTGTTGCAGGGTAAAACAAGAAGAGACAATAGTACTCAGTTACGAATATTTATGCCTCCCTGGCCAACTACTATGAGATACATTGCAAGTGAGGATATAAATAACTGGGGTGGCCTATCAAGAAGGTCCTTGCCACCTAGGCTGTTGCCAGGAGAAGAGGCCTCCTGGGCCTGTTGTCAGGGGGAAGATCTTTGCTAAGGGAAGGGTCTTGGCCTTGAAGAGATAGTTTGTCTAGCTAAAGAATCACAGCAGGGCCGGATCTAGCCTGTCAAATGTGGGGGTGCAGTATAAAACATCGGGGGCAGAGGATGCGAGGTCAACAGGGCAGCGTATAGAAGTCAGTAGGGCAGTGTACAGGGGGGCAGCAGGGCAGAGATAGAGACAGTAGTTTGTAGGGCAGAATACAGAGGTCATTAGTTTGTAGGGCATTGTACAGAGGCCATTAGTTTGTAGGGCAGTGTACAGAGGGTTATCAAAGCAGTGTACAGGCTTTAGAAAGGAAGTGTACCGGGAGTCAGCAGGACAGAGGAGGAGAGGTCAGCAGGAGAGTGTACAAGACTCAGTAGGGCAGTGTACAGGTGGTCAGTATGGCACAAAATACGGGTCAGCAGGGCAGAGGATGGGAGATCAGCAGGGGAGTGTACAAGAGTCAGTGGGGCAGTATACAGTGGTTCAGTAGGGCACAGGATAGGGGTCAGCAGCAGAGGATGGGAGGTCAGCAGGGGAGTGTGTAAGAGTGAGTAGGGCAGTATACCGGGGTTCAGTAGGGCAGAGGATAGGGGTCAGTAGGGCAGAGGATAGGGGTCAGTAGGGCAAAGGACAGGAGTCAACAAACCAGATAACTAGGGTCAGCAGGGTGGAGAACAGGGGTTATCAGGGCAGAAGACAGGGGAGTAGGGCAGAAAAAAGGGGGATCAGCAGGACAGAGAAAAAGGGGTCAGCAGGACAGAGGACAGTGTTTAGATGGGCAGTGTACAGGGGTCAGCAGGATGGAGGACAGAGGTCAGCAGGGCTAGGTACAGAGGGTCAGCAGGGTAGAGGACAGGGGTCAGTAGAGGAGTAGACAGGGTCAAAACTGCAACATAGCAGTCAGCTATACACTGCAGATCGAGACTGTGTCTGTAAGGGAATCCGAATTCGCAATGCGTTAAGTGAGGAGGAGATCTATTGACTGCCCTGTGTGTGGTGCCAGAACAAGGTCATCTAGCTCCCAGGGCCCCCCCATGTGTGAGCATCCTGTCTCAGCATTAATCCCCCTCCCCTCAAAAAAAAAAACAACTAACCAGCATGCTCTCCCCTAGCATAACATCTGTCTGCAAGCCAAAATTCTCCCCAAACAACAATGCAAAAATCCCCCTTCCTCCCAGTATAAACCCCTGTCACAGCACAAATCTTTGCCCCCCAATCCTGCCTCCAATGCTCCCACTTCCCCCCTCCTAGCATAAATCTCCCTCACCCAAAAAAAATTCATGCACACATCCACCTTCCTCTCAAATTTTCCATCCAAGCACAAATCTCCAAATTCCCCCCAGTCCCCCCTCTTAACCCAAATTTCCTCACCACCTCTTAGCACAACCCCCCCCCCCCCCCAATCCCCCTCCTAGAACAAACCCTTTCCAATCCCCCTTCTTGCACAAATCCCCCTAACACAAAGCCCCAATACCGCTTCTAGCACAAATCCCCCCTCTAAACCCCCCCTCCGAGCACAACCCCCTAATCCCCCTTCTAGCACAAACCCCCAATCCCCCCGCTTAGCACAAATCCCCCTGCTAATCCCTCCTCCTAGCACAAATACCCCCACTAATCCCCCCTTCTAGCACAAATCCCCCTGCTAATACCGCCTTCTAGCACAAATCCCCCAATAATTCCCTCTCCTAGCACAACCCCCTCCCAATCCCCCCTTCTAGCACAAATCCCCCCGCTAATCCCCCCCCCAGCACAAATCCCCCCCAGGTGTAAACGGACATGTGTACCTGCCAACATCGAATCCGATCCACCAAAAAGAGACAGATAGGGATTTGTTCCCCTTCCGTCCATCGGATCGGATGGCAGTCGGATGGAAATTGCATGTGCACAGTAACTCAAAAATGACATTCATTGTGGGAATAGTAGGGTGACCAGACATCCCTAGTTTCAGGAGACAGTACCAGGTTTTAGGAGGATGTCCCAGTAACAGAAGTATCCCTGAATCCTTTCCTCACTATTCAAAATGCCCGTGGGCACCAGAGTAAAAATCTGTCAATAACAAAAATGTTGCCAGATAGATTATAGTAATTTACCTGGCAATGTTTTTCTTATTGGCTGATTTTTTTTTAAATGGCTGCCTATGCCAGGAGAAGGAGAGAGGGTAGGGGTTCAGTGTATATTAGCTCCCAAGGTTCTGCTGTGTCCTGGTCCAATGATGTCACCCTCATCCTTCCTCCCAGCTTGTGCATTTTTAAAAGTGGGAGGTGAGGAGGAGGAGATGCTGCATTGTCCTGCAAAACAATGGAACACATAGGGAGTTGTCTGAGCTGGGTGACTGGGGTAATGTATAGACAGCAGTTTATTATCTTTATTTTGCAAATGGTCAGTAACAGAGGGAAGGTCATGCCTCATACTCACACTCTGCTCTGCACTTTACTGCTTTACTTACTACTGACCTCTGAACTCTGCGTCACTCACTACTGCCCTTACAATTCTGTGTCACTTACTACTGACCCCTGAACAGTGCATTACTTACTTCTAACCTCTGCATCACTTACTACTGACCCCTGAACAGTGCATTACTTACTTCTAACCTCTGCATCACTTACTACTGACAACTGAACAGTGCACCACGTACTTCTAACCTCTGCATCACTTACTACTGACCCATGAACTGTGTGTCACTTTCTTCTGCCTCTGTATCCTGAATTATATACTACTGACCCTTGAACCCTGAGTCGCTTACTACTTACTTCTGTACCATGTTTTCACTTACTACTGACCCCTGGACAGTGCACCACTTGCTTCTAACCTCTGCATCACTTACTACTGACCCATGAACTGTGTGTCACTTTCTTCTGCCTCTGTATCCTGAGTTACATACTACTGACCCTTGAACTTTGAGTCACTTACTACTGACTTCTGTACTTTGTCACTTACTACTGACCCCTGGAGAGTGCACCACTTACTTCTAACCTCTGCATCACTTACTACTGACCCATGAACTGTGTGTCACTACTGACCTCTGTATCCTGAGTTACATACTACTGACCCTTGAACTCTGAGTCGCTTACTACTGACTTTGTAGTGACATCACGCATGCATGCTGATGTTTCGGCTGTGTATACGTATACGCCCTAAGGTCAAAACACTGGCATTTGGTTCCTTTTCCTTATTATTTTAGGTGCCATTTGGTGCCTTTTCCTTATTTTTTAAGGCTTTAGGTTGAGGCAGTGCTTTCATGGCTATACCTCTGGAGAATAACTCTATTACATCCATACCCAACATATCTATGTAGATGGGAACCTTTTAGCTGGGGATCGGTTTTGGTCACGGTATGTACATTATTGAAATGGGATACATATACAGTATCTCACAGAAGTGAGTCTACCCCTCACATTTTTGTAAATATTTTATTATATCTTTTCATGTGACAACACTGAAGAAATTCCACTTTGCTACAATGTAAATTAGTGAGTGTACAGCTTGTATAACAGTGTGAATTTGCTGTCCCCTCAAAATAACTCAACACAGCCACTGGCAACAAAAGTGAGTACACCCTTATGTGAAAATGTCCAAATTGTGCCCAAAGTGTTAATATTTTGTGTGGTCACCATTATTTTCCAGAACTGCCTACCCTCTTGGGCATAGAGTTCACTAGAGCTTTGCAGGTTATTATCATGTTGGAATACTTTCCTGCGGCCCAGTCTCTGAAGGGAGGGGATCATGCTCTGCTTCAGTATGTCACAGTACATCTTGGCAGTCATGGTTCCCTCAATGAACTCTAGCTCCCCAATGCCGGCAGCACTCATGCAGCCCCAGACCATGACACTCCCACCACCATGTTTGACTGTAGGCAAGACACACTTGTCTTTGTACTCCTCACCTGGTTGCCGTCACACACGCTTGACACCATCTAAACCAAATAAGTTTATCTTGGTCTCATCAGACCACAGGACATGGTTCCCAGTAATCTATGTCCATAGTCTGCTTGCCTTCAGCAAACTGTTTGCAGCTTTCTTGTGTATCATCTTTAGAAGAGGCATCCTAATGGGACAACAGCCACACAGACCAATTTGATGCAATGTGCGGCGTATGGTCTAACCTCTGCACTCTGCGTTTTTCTTAGTACTGCCAGACTGAATTCTGTACTCTGCATCACTTACTACTGATCTCTGAACTTTGCATCACTTACTGCTAAAGTATGAACTCAGCACCACTTTCTACCGAACCTCTGAACTCTACAGTACTTGCTACTGAACCACTGCACTCTGTGTCCCTTACTATTGACCTCTGAACTCTTCATTACTTACTACTGACCTCTGCTCTCTGCATTACTTAAAGTGGTAGTAAAGTAATTTTTTCCATGTTTTACCTACAGGTATGACTTTAATAAGGTTTATCTGTAGGTACTGTAAATATCTCCTAAATTTACACTGTTTAGGAGATATTTACTTTAGCAGCGCTGATGATGTCTCCGGAGCATGCGCACTGGGCTCTCAATGGACGGTGTGCCATCCATTGAGAGAGCCATGCCGCGGCCTGAGACTTCCGCGCGCATGCATGGGAGTGACATCACCGCAGCTCGATCAGTGAAACAGCCGCAGCCCAGGAACCCGGAAGGAAGACCAGGTGAAGATGGAAGCCCCGGGGAGCCGTGACAGCACTCCGCTGAAGGGTTTTCGTTTTCAGGCAAGTCTTTCATAATGTGCTAGTATGTGATGCATACTAGCACATTATATTCTTAACTTGCTGTTTACTACTGCTTTAATACTAACCCCTGTACTATGCATTACATGCTACCTACCTCTTTACTCTGCTATACATACTAATAACCCCAGCACTCATATCCTCTTCTCATACTTTACTTGTCCACAGTGAGCCCCCAGGAAGCCACAGCACGTTATCCTTGAATCCCCCCATCTCTCTCTAATGATTGAGTATTGTCACAGATTCCTGTTTTTACTTATATATTGTCATGATTACCCATTTATTGCCCATGTAATCTAACAATTGCAGCATACATGACATTTACAAGAAAAATAACTTGGATTGTTGTGGCATTGGGACCCAGGGAACTCACCAGCTGATGTAATGTAATTCCAAGCTCAGTTAGTACAGGTCAGGGAGGGAAGCAGGAATTTGTGCTGGAGATGGTTTTGTAATAAAGGCTAGAGGAGTGTATTTTTTATTCATTTTTTAAATTTATTACAGGTACTGACAGTATATAGCGCCATCAATTTACGCAGTGCTTTACATATATATTATATATATATATATATATATATATATATATATATATATATATATATATATTGTACATTCACATCAGTCCCTAACCCTCAAGGGGCATACAATCTAAGGTACATACAATTTTCCTTTAGATTTAAAAAAACATATGATATGAGGTCAAACCTAAACACCTTCACATTGTATGCAATCAGGCAGACCCTTCCAGTATATAGTTGAAGGTAAATCTAAAGAAATTGCAAAATGTATGGCCAACTTAACTCATGGCCCCTGCATTTTGTGCATTATCCTAACACCCCTTTAAACCCCTCATTGTTAGCACAATGTGGCTCTTTGAAAGTCTGGACACCCTAGGGGTTATATTTAGTGGCAAATATAGTCACCAAAGGGCCTCAATACACATTTTGGCCCCCATAATCCCCCTACAAAGTTATTCACTGTATGTATGTGCGTGTGTGTATATGTATATATATATATATATATATATATATATATATATATATACATACATATATATATACATATACACACACACAATAGTGCCAAGGGTTCAATATTGAGTTGACCCACCCTTTGCAGCTATAACAGCTTCAGCTCTTCTGGGAAGGCTGTCCACAAGGTTTAGGAGTG